AAAAAAAAAAAAAATTTAATTTTCCACTGTTACCTAGGCAACCAGGGCCCTCACCAGCCAGTTACAGCACAGGAAGGATGCAGTCTTCCTTACACCAGGGAAGCAAAACAACACAAGCAGAGGTTTCACAGTTCAGGCAGGCAGCCCTGCCAGCACCATGTTCTGCTACTTTGACAGGTTTCCCTTACCCTCCTTCCCCAGATCCTGCAGCTGGTTTAATTTTCCACTGTTACCTAGGCAACCAGGGCCCTCACCAGCCAGTTACAGCACAGGAAGGATGCAGTCTTCCTTACACCAGGGAAGCAAAACAACACAAGCAGAGGTTTCACAGTTCAGGCAGGCAGCCCTGCCAGCACCATGTTCTGCTACTTTGACAGGTTTCCCTTACCCTCCTTCCCCAGATCCTGCAGCTGGACATGGCATCAGGCAACCAGACCAAGTTTCAGATGCTGAAGCCTATTGGGTGAGTTGGTACTTTAAATTTTCACTGCTGCATCATAAAAAGAAACCACGTAAAAAGGGTAGATTTCAGGAATAAAGCAGCAGAGAGGATAAGTGGCAGGTATACAGGTCTAGCTGAAGGATTCTGTACTGGGCAGGGAAGATCAAGATGTCATGAAAAGATCTTACAACAACATTGAAGAAAAGACAAATTAAGCTTATCGATACTTTATATACTTGAGTATTCTTTGAGTATTTGAATACTCCTCTAGATGTTGACATGACTTCAATAAACCTAGGCATAAAACATCCCTGTAGCAACATGAAGAACTGCCATTGAGGAAAACTAATGACAGAACCAAGGGACAAACCAACCCACCACACACCCACACCCTAATCCTCTCAACTTCCTATCATTCAGAATTAAGGTTCCATGACATGTGACCTAAAGAGTGCTTTGAGAATCTCTCTGATTATTCCAAAAGTTTTGCTTTTAAAGACTTAAACTATCAAGCAAGCTCTAGAGTCATTCAGTATTGATGCCACAACAGTTATGGAGTTAACTTTATAGGCTTAATTCAAGTCAGACAGAAGATACAATGCCAGAAGACAGTGGATGGGAATTCTGGAAGGAGCCACAAGACACAGCTGCTTTTTGGTTGTTATCCAGGTAGGAGACAGCTTGAGAGTTTCAGGCAGAAAAATAAGCAGATGTGATCATCAAGCATATGGAAAAGGAACATTTTGAAATTAATTGCTTTGCAGGCCATAAAAACTTTTTTTTTTAACTAAGATTATTAGGATGGAGTTATTTCTCTGGATTGGTAAGGGATAATGCTAAAAAATGACTGGATGAGATATTGCTTCTACCTCTAAGCAGGTCAGAGTTTGGACCTACTTGTCCTACTGCACACAGGACTAGCAGTTTAAGAGACTTAAGTAACGTGAAGGTAAACTTCTGCAAGAGTTATTGAAGCCAGGCCTATATGAACACACTTGTCTAAAAATGTACAAAAATGTTTTAATACATTTTGATGGCATTTTGGCATTTCCTTAAAGCTGTATAACCTTCTCTCTCAAAAAAACCCCAGCAAATTTCCTGTTTTCTGTTCACGATGTGCCTTCCATTGCTTTAAGATTTTGTGGACTTTTGAGGACTGCTTAGAAATGCCCAAAACATAAGAACTAAGCAGATTTCCATTTCTTCCCCTCCCTGAGACAGACTTGCTGCAGGAAGAGAAATTAAGACAACACAAAACAAAATCTAGCATTGCAATGATACTAGCTAATTTAAGGAGCTTAAGTGTCTGTGTATAACACATTTGCCCAAGGAACAGCTGGTTCATTTGTTTTTCTTACTGAAAAAATCCATTTCAAACCCAAGCTGTGCCTGGATTGCTGAATAAATTGGCAATAGTAGAGGTGAAAACCTGTAGACTTTTGGTTTGGATCCAGTGTAGGTCACTAATGCCTGCAATTCGTTACTAGCATCAGAAACCAAGTGGGTCTTCTCCTGGGTCCCACAGTACAGCAATTCCTAGAGCAATGATGGAGGCAGAAAAGCTGAGCTATCTCTCCATCTTTGTTAGCTGCTGACACCAGGTCACTGCTGGGAAACGCAGGCTCTTAGAAGAAATAAAAGTGTACTGACGTCAACAGCATGCGAGAGTGGTGAAGGGTGACTGCTCAGTAGGTGAACAGGATTGAGACAAACAAGTAAAAACATGCAGTCGTTTGTTCCTTCTCACCTACAACCATCACAAACTGGGAGGAGTTAATAGGAAAAAACTCTTTCACATTAAACCCCACATAACGCAGTGATGACCGAGATGGCTGCATGCTGCAGTGAACAACAGCAGCTCTCACGTCTTCTGGAGGGCAACACGTGGGAGCGCTCGGGCAAGCCTGTGCCTTCCACCACGTACAGCGAACAATAAAGGGGCTATAATCATTAATGGGGTGCACGAAGCACTCGATAATAAACCACACATACAAGCCCCCTCCCAGCCTTCTTCCACAATAACTTCCATGGGCTATGCAAATTTAAACTACCGCAAAGCTACTGCACAAAGCCTTTATTAAAGATACAAGCTTGTCTCCAAAGCTATACCACAACTGCTTACACAAGACAGCTCTGCTCTCATCTTCAGCCTCCCTTTGTAACACAGAACTTACTCCAGCTCCTTAAAAGAATGGAGTTTGTAGATAAGTGTTAAACATTCAATAATTCTTATTTCAAATTCACAGAAAAACAGTTCTTCCATTACAAGAGCCTTGTCAGTCTGGCTCAATTCCACAAAGGGGATCAACTCCTTTGAGTCTTTGAGCCTGAAGGAGATCCCAGTGCTGCAGGAGCTGCTCAGTGAGCAGGGACCAGCTCACTCTTGCTTGTGGCAACTGGCACAAGAGACTGCAGTTGTGCTTTGTGCATTACAAGGGAAAAGAGGAGAAAATTAAGATACTCTGCTACTGCCTTTGTGATCCTCTCACCCCATTCTTTGGCAGTAGAACTACCTCGCAGCTGGTTCACTGAATCAGCTATTGCACTGCTCATGCTCATCCCCACGCTTGGATGTTCTTTACAAAACCCAGCTTATCTGAGCTAAAATAATGTACATCCAGCTGTCTGAAAAAGCCCTGCAAGGCAATAACCTGAGACACGCTTACAGCAAGGAGTTGAACTACATGGACTCTCAAGGACCCTTCCAACTGGAATGACCCTAATGAGCCGCTTTTGCTGTAACACTTCAAAGAGCAAATTAGTCATTGGAGCATCTAGCCAAAAATTCCCCACGTGTATCTAAGTCAACCTGCTTCAAACTAAGCACACCTCACCCTAGTGCGGGGCAGCTTTGTGAACCAAGCTGGTGAACTCATCAGTAAACCATCCTTAAAACCAGTTTAGCAACTGACGCCTGCACTGGCAGAGGGGAGGAAACCCCAAACCGCTGTCCCCAGACCAGCGGCACCAGCACGCAGAGAGCTGCGGGCAGCAGCGCCGCCTGCGCT